TAGTTATCTATGGGCTCTTAGTTGCTAGCTCACTTTTGAAAAATGCTTTGTGTTTGTGTGTTTTTGAAAATATTTTGAAAAGATACCTTAGTGCGGCGAACTTTGTAATGTTTCTCGTTTCAGAGAGAACGTATACAAAGTGTTTTTTGTCTTTGAAATTTTTTAGAGAAAAGTTTGTGTATGTGTGAAAAAATTGTTTTGTTTGTTTTTATGAGCAAACAACTATGAACTATCTACCTACTCGAACGGTATTTGTTCTTCTCCTCTTTTTCTTTAGACAGTGCTATCCTACTATTAGTCAGTAGGTACCCTATCGTTGGATTTTTTGAGGGACAAGCGAGGGTTATCGTACAGTCATGAAAGAAACTCGTAAGATACTTTAACAATTACCCTAAGATTTTAAGATCATATACCGAGGTAACGTCGAAAGGGTCATCAAGGGACTTATGATCTTATAACCAAAGGGTCACTGCTAAAGTCTCTTACGTTCGAAAGACGTGATTGTTTTATTTCGAAGGCAACAAGTGGAGGTACCTTAGAGGTGTAAGTGTGCGAGTGTGTTGTGTTTCAGTTATTTATCTTTAAACATTTAGGTTTTCTACTATTTATTTTTAGGTCTTATCATGCAATCCTATTAAGCATACATTTAGCAGTTAATATGTACGAAAAATAAAAGTGCGAGAATTTGAATCTACGCTATTGCAATGCTTCGGGATGGGGGAATTACAAACCAAAATGGGGGATAAGAAAATGTAAAGGTCCTAGTTTAAAATCTATTACATTCCATGTACAGTTTACAGAATTTATAATAATGCGAGTAAAATAAGTAAATACACGGAGAAGAGAGAGCTCTACAAATTTTTCTAAGTGATAAAAGAAATATTTTTTGTTGTTTTTGCATTTTTGTGTTTAGAAGAATAATTAAATTAAATTAAGAAATCCCTAAATCTAATTAGTTAATTAAAAAAGTGATTAAAATAATTAATTAAAATAAATATAATTAAAAACTAATTCTAATTATTTTTTGTGATTTTGACTTAATGATGTTTTTTATGATTTTATAATTTTTATGATTAAATAAAAAAACCGATTAAAAAAGAATTAATTAAAACAAAAATAAATAAGAAAAAGTAATGGGCCAAACTGGTGCAAGAAAAATATGGGGTGAGAGTTTGACATTCGCAAGCCCAAAATGGGGAGGTCCAGGTGTGATAACGGGAAAAGGAGGGGTGTAGAGATTGAAGCTTGCTAGGTCCAATTTGATAAAACCCAGTATTACGTTGGATCCAGTATGGACGACCCTTGAAGGTCCATGGTGGGAAGCATGCTTCTGAGGCGCTGGATCTAATGTCCATTAAGATTTGATGGTCTAGATGCAAATTACATCCTCCCTACGTTGTACCTGCATACACTAGATTTGAAGAGAAAATATTAGAAAAATAAAACGCGAAGCCCGGGGATCGAACCCAGGACCTAGGTTTCATACCTGCACTCTTTACCACCAGACCAAGCTACTCATTCATTATTATAAACAACATGATAACATTATATTATAAAAAGCAATTCAAAAATTATTCAAATAAAAAACGTGCACCCAGTGGGACCCCTATGGATTAAGCGAACTAATCGTGTTATGCCTTTCAGCCACGCGAGCAACTGGCCGGATTCAATTAGGGTCAGAGACGCTAAAGTCAAACTCCAATCGTCTTCTCTGACCAAGCAAAAATGGAACCTACATTTTTGTGAGATTCAAAGCCAGGTGAGAGACCTATTCTATGTAAAACCATCCCCTGAGTTTAAATTTGAGCTTAGATTCAACAGATCGTCACTGTATCAAGCGTTTCGAGCGCGTTTCTAGGTCATGCCCTAATAATGACATTATGTGATTCAAGCGTTTAGGTTCACATGTAATACGTTAAACCTGGTCAAATCATTGCAAACCGGTGGCTATCATGGGGATCATTCTAGGGTGCTTCAAACATGGAGAAGGGTTGGGGTGAGTCCTGGGAGCTTCAGGGGCAAGATGTAAGGCTTGGATTTGATTAATATGGGCTGGAAGATTGAATTTCGAACTTTACAACTTTTGAGATTTTTGTCAAATTTGTGGGAGCTTTCTTTAGGCAGTGGAGCTTGTCTTCTTGCTTGCACTCTTGTTATTTATATAGAGGGAAGAGAGGGGAGCAACCAAGTATGGAAATGAATCAAGCAATAACTTGGTTTTAAGAACAAAAATCAAAATTTGAAAAGCTTCCAAAAATAAGAAATCTTTGCCATTTTCTTCCTTGCCATGAACCCAGACAGATCCTATGTTTTTTGCACGAAATCTTGGACTCCATGATTGGTCAAGTTAGGCCCAAATGCATTAGCCCATGGTTTCTTGCATTTTTATCTAATTTATTTGATTTTAAATTAAATAAAATCAAGATAAATATAAATAAAATTCAAGGCCATGTAAAAATGGATTTATAGATCCTTGGGTATGTCAAAAATATGTTTGAACCCTAAAAGTTAGGTCCATTAACCTAGAAATGAAATTTTGCTCAAAGTTGACTTCATGTATTTTCACAAATTTGCCCAACTTATACAAACCATAACTTGCTCAATTTTCACCTTTTGAAGATAATATTAGAATTTTTGGAAATCCCAAGATGTACTTTACAATCTCTACGTTGATCATTTTTTCTTTTGAAGATATTATCTTCATGTAAGTTTTCTTGACAAAAAATGTCTTTTGTTGACTTTTGAAAATTACCTATAATGTGTGAGCTCATCTCTTCCAAATGAAGCATTTTTTGGACTTGAGTACAAAATAAAAGTTATAGAGAATTAAATTTTATTCAAAATGAGCTTTGGTTGGAGAAAATATGATGAAGCATGTGAAAGTTATGCCTGGTCAAAGTTCAGTTGACTTCTCCTAAGGAAACCCTAATCTGACAATTCTTGACATTTGATGATCTGAAGACTTTCCTTGGGGAATCATGACTAAACCTTGATAAAATGATGAATCTCACTTCAAAATGTTGATGTTAACCAAGAATCTTGATGTTTGACTGCATGTTGACCATAATTGACTTTTTGACCAATACAGTTGATTTTCAAGCATTTGGGTCATTGATTGAGCAAACTTGTGATGTAGGGCTTGAAACTTGACATGGACCTTGTTGAGTACATATGAATAACCATGGAAGAAACTTGATACCTTTGCAGACCAAATTTCCTTGAGAAACTTCAAACCTTAGTTATATGCCTTTGATTTAGGAGGTGCATTTTGACTAGTCAACCCTTGAGTGTCTTGACTATTTGAAGAGCCTTGAAAGAATGCTTTTGAGAAAAATATGAGGGAAAATTTTAGGATACAACACTTGCTATCTCCAATTCCCTTAAGAGCCGCAAAGATTACTTCATCAGTAATTGGTTGAGTGAGAGCTTCACCATCTTCATCTTTCATTTCTGCACCATTTCTTAGGGAAACAATATCAACATGCTAAAAATGTTGAGAAGTCGTGCCAACCAACTTCCTGTAGAATTTAACTACCTCATTTTTAATATCTTTTTGGTCTGTCAGTTTTTCACCATTATTCCCAATCATATATTAAATGCCAGTTTTCTTGTTTTTCCCTCTCACGATAGCATGAAAATACGAATTGTTTCCGCCCCCTAGTTTTAGCCAATTGACCTTGGATTTTTGCATTAAGATTTGCTTCTCTACTTCAGTAGCTTTGAGGAGTTTATCAGTCCAGTTTCTCACATTTTCCAGGTAATTCTGATTGAACATATCAGAATTAACCTTTTTCTTAGCTTGTTTCAGGTTCTATTTATACTCTTGTATTTGTTTGACCTCTTCAGTAACATTCCTAGCCAGCTTTTGCATCTCAGGTTGAAGATCCCTCAACTTATTCCAAAGTCTATACATAGGTTTCCATGTTTCTCTTCTACTCCAACTATGATAAACAATCTACATAAAATTTGGGTTATCCACAATGCAGCTCAGAAATTTTAATTGTCTTAATGTTCTTTGTGCATTATTCCTTTTCCCCCAAGGTTGGACTTGAAGAGGTGAATGGTCAGTGATATGTGCAAGAAGAATTTAAACTTCAAAATTAGGAAATTGCAAGAACCACTCCCTATTGAAAATGGCATGGTCAAGTTTTTAACAGATCACACCTTGAATGTGTTTGTTGGACCAAGTGTAGCTTTCTACCATGGTATCATGTTTAAACAACCCTACCACTTCTATCATGTCTTCAAGATCACGAAATTCATGACTTTGAACTGGGTGGCCCCTAAAGATGTCTCCTACATTCATAACATTATTCAAATCACCTACAATTATCCAAGGCTCTTGTTTGGAGTGATTATAAGTCTGCAGCTCTGACCAAAGATGATTCATTCTCTATAATTGGTTATGTGCATATATGATAGTCAATGAAGTAACAAACTTTCCACTCATATCAAACAGTCTACAATAGATATGTTGCTCATATCTATCATCCATTTTAATGTCCACATCCTGAATTTTCTAGCCTATCCAGATTCTGCCATTGGCATGATGGTTGTAATTGTCCAACCACTGCCAGTTATTCCCAAAAGAGTTCCTGATTTTATTAACATTAGATTGTTTCACCCTTGTTTATAATAGTGCAATACAAGACACATTACATTTTTTTATATGAGATGCAATCTAAACATGTCTTGCTCTTTTATTTAAGCCCCTCACATTCCATGAAATTAACATAGAACCTTGTCATCTTCTGTCTCTAGGCTTGGTTTAGAGCCTAGAACATCAAAACCATCTTAACAACCAATGATGGGCATCTTCCTCTCCCTAATATTCTGCTTGATATTAGATCTTGCTTCTATCCATTTTTCTGGTTTTCACTAGATGAAGGATCTATCTCTATAGAGGGCAGATCTATCTCATGAGAGGCTTCCTCGATATTTTATTGATTCTCCTCTTTTTCCTCTTGTTATTTTTGGATCCAAATTTGTTTCCCCCTGTCATGGGTTTTTGCAGCTTATATCTCTTTGTAAACATGACCCACCCTGTTACATTTGACACAAAAGAGCGGTTTTCAGTCATATTCCACAAGTTATTGTATCAATTCTCCAATGAGGCTTCTTATGATGAACTGGTCCTTCAATTCCATTGTGACATCCATTTCGATAAAAACCCTAAACATATGATACTCGCAGTTTCGTCATTGTGCATTCATCTGTCAATAGAGGTTTCCCCAGTGCACTCGCTATCTTACCAATACCCTTCTCTCCCCAGTATGCCACAAGAAGTTGCGGGAATGTAACCCAAAGGGGAAATGTTCTTATCATGCCATCCTTCATTCTAAAATCACATCTCCATTCATGAATAAACATAGGTTTTTTGTGTATTGTGTATGGTCTTCTTCTCAAAACCAAATCTCTATCTTCCTTCGAATTGAACCTAATGATGAAATAACCCCCATCATTATAATAAAGTTCTGGTAGGGAAATAAAATTTCACATATTGATCATAAATTTTCTAACCGCGCTCATGGAAAGATCTTCTCCTATAACATACATAAACAAAGCATTTTCCTAATATCTGATTTTTGATGCTATGTCTTCTTCTTCAATTTGGACCTCAATTTCCCTATTAACGATTTTGGGGGGTGTGTATTCAATTTCTATGACATTAGAGGGGTTGCAGTTACCTTTAATGATATCTATCCATGGTAATCGATGTTTTGGTTCAGGCATTGCTTCCTTCTTCGTTTCCTCATTCTAAGCTTCACATATCACCTCTTCCTCTATCGTTTCAAGGATTAGTGTTACGATCTCCTTCCCAGTTGAAAATCTCCGAACATTGCTTCTTGAGTGTGATGAAGACGATGGTGTGAACACGCGAACCACCATCGATGGAGTCTGCGCCGCCTGTTTGCGTGGTTGGTCGTGACCCATTCCCCCTAATCTTTAGAGCGCCTCTTCTTCAACTTTAATTTCTGAAAAAATATATGTCAGTTTTTTTATAGGGATCAAAAATAAAATTTGGTACTTTATAGGGACCAAAAATATATTTAATCTAAAAATATATTGAAGGAGGAGTTTTGAGAATTTTAGAAGGATTAAATAAGCTATTCAAATATAATTGATATTCTTATATTATTTTAAAATTAAAAATAAGGTTAAATATGTTTTTGATCTCTATAAATATCTCAAATTTTGTTTTTACTCTCTATTAAAAAAATAATATATTTTGGTCCCTACAAATTTTTTATTCATACAGTCTTAGTTCTTATTAATTTCTAAAATCTTGAAAACTGTTTAATTACGCTTAAATTTTTAAATTTTTGAATAATTTTTTCATAAGTGTTTAAAATACTATAAAATATTTACTTACCAAATTTTAGAATGTTTTAAAATGAGAAAAATTAAATATGAAATTTTTAAATTTTAAAAGATATTGATAAAAATAATGAAAATCTCGATTTTTGAATTCTTTTTTTTCGAAGAACTTTTTATAACGATTTAAACATGTCTGCAACATAATCACTAAAAAATACATATCAGTTTAACAACAATAATTAAAACTGCGTGTATAATAATTTTGTAAGAGGTAAAACATGCCAGTTTTTTTATAGGAATCAAAAGTAAAATTTGATAATTATAGAAATCAAAAACATATTTAACCCTAAAAATATGTTAATGATAAAAAATATTTTATTATTTTTAAAAAAATATTAATAAAGTAAATATCTTAAAAAATCATTAGAAAGTCATCAATGATACATAATAGTTCAACATAATGGATGAATTATATGTAACTATGTTTGAAAGAGATATTGGGATGATGATAGGAAACAACTGAAATGAAAAAAATTATGATAACATGACAAAACTTAAAATTATGTGTGAATGTAGAAGAAACAAAGTTTTTATTTTTTGTGAAGGGAATGTTTATTGTTTTTAATGTTGATATAATTTATTTAAGAAATGACAATTAATTAATCCTATATTTTGTTTACCTCAAGATCTCACAACAGTGAGAGAAAGTACTCCGAGAAGAATAGACCGAGGCAGAGGATCCTTCCACCAATCAAAAAAAGGAAAAAGTCGAACAAAAAAACAAAACCCAACCGAGTAACAAACAACAAGACAGAGAGATCAGAGAATCACAAAACAAACCCATTCTCGTAAATATCTTATTTCCATAAGGTTATTTTCATAGGATACCATCATTAACATTAACTCACCCTTTACAAAAAAAAAACCTCATCTTTCCCATAGTTTGTTGGGGCCCACTTACTTTCTCTGCTGGTTGTAACAGCCCATTAAAGATTAAACACGTACTTAAAATGGAAGATTTTCATTAATGAAATAACATTACTGTATTTAATTAATCTTAATATAGTCCTAACAACTAGCTTCGAAAAGATTGTATCTTTTGTCAAGTTTGTTGCGCCCGCTGCTGTTGGAGTAATACGCATATCTCCACATTTTACACTTTTAAGTATTTCTCCAAAATTTAGAATACCAGTAATAATTAACCATTTGTCCAAAAAAATATATTAGTACTATATCAATAAAGTTATGATTAAAACCGTGATAAAAATATTTGTTTTTATGAAAATGGTAATAAATGCTAGCATAATTGTACCAATGACTTTTTCAAACAAATTAAAATATATTACCATTATGTAAAACATATCAGTATTATATTATATATATTTATATTACTCAATTAATTCTAATTCACGTAGGAAATTGATTAATCTGATTTCGTGGTTCATAAAAATAATCCATCAATTAAATTCTATTTTTATTAAAAATTAAACTCAAATAATTCATTTTTAGTAGAAATTTATTTCTCATATTAATATTATATTTATTTTGCAGTAAACTATTTATCTTAAAGTTTTGTTTGTGAGTTATAAGAAAGATAGAGATTTAAAATGAAAAATTTTAAATATTTAAAAAATCATTTTATATAAAATTATAAAAAAATATTTATAATTTATAATTTATAATTTTTAAAAAATTATAACAATATAAATTATATTTAAATAATTTATCTAAATCATACACAATCTCTCAAACCTCTCATCTAATTTTTTAGTTCTTCAAATTATAAAAATTTTGTTTTATTCATTCCCTGAATTTTTAAATTTTTTTCACTGGTTCTTTTCCTTTTTTTTTCTTCAAAAGCTTTCCATTCTTCTTGTTCAAACTTCTAAACCAAAACTAACAAATATGTCTAAAATGAATGAATTTTATAATTTTTAATATGTTAATATTTTTTAATAGTTGTCTGATTAATGTTTTTTTAATATTGTGGTGAGTTTTACAAGTTCACAAATATATGGTATTTTTATAATTGTATGATAAAGTTACTAAAATATTAAATTATATATATATATATATATATATATATATATATATATATATATATATATATATAAGAAATTATATAAATATATATAATTTTTAATTGATAAAATTTTATAATGAGATGTTGCGAGTTTAATTCACATTTTTATATTCAAATATTTTTGTATAACTATTAATCGGTAAATAATTTTAAATCTAATTTATATAAATTAGTTTGTGTGACCTATTTAAAATTGTCATGAGCCATCATTGTAATTATATATAATTTTAAAAAAATATAAATATTTTTAAAATTAAACGATTATTTTAATGAATCACATATTCTTTGTGATCATCAAGTTAAATAAGATTCTTTTACTAGTCTACATTAAAATTTAATAGATACATTATTGGAACTAGGTTTGTTAAAATTTATTTATTTTAATTTTGTTGAGATCGAGTGTGATTTATTTACTTTTATATCGGTAATGTAATATCCAAATACAATAAAAAAATATTCAAGAAATACATAGTAAAAGCAGGATTACATGGTACTACTATATAATTATATTCAGAAATAGAAAATTTTGATTTGATATTTATCTGAACCAAAAATCAAGGAAAGTTATTTGTTTTATATATCTCAAGAACAGAAAGACTTAAAATAAATGGAGTACTAATATTAATTTATTTATAAAAACAGAACAAAAAAAAAAGAGAGAGAGAGAGAGAAAGAAGTGAAGAAAAAGCAGAGAATATAAAGAGACCGGATATTGACAAATTTCATGTCACTGTTCTTAGAAGGTCGTTTGTTTTGTGAGGAGATTTCTTATCTGGGATCTCTCTCTAAAACTATAATTCTTTTTCTCTTTCTCTCTCTAGAAAAAACCTCACTTTATTTTTCTTTCTCTGTCTAAAACAGAGCTGAGTTTATTTTTCTTTCTTCACTTTGTTGTATATGTCTAAAAGAGAGAAAAGAGAAAGAACAAGTAGATCGAAATCGACGATCTAAACTTCTTCAATGTTGTTTGTTAATTCTTTCTTTTAACTAAACTTTTTATTATTATTTTTTTTTGGAGTCAATACACTGAATTTTTCTTCTGTTTTCAATGGTAGAATCCATGGCGGATTCTGAATAGGAACTCATACAAGGATGTGGGTTTGAGGTAATTTTTTTTATTATACTTTCTGAATTGTTTGTTTATTTTTACTTAATCATTTGATATAATTTGGTTTAATTTTTTTTATTTTGAGTGTGATGAAAATTGAATTCTTGGTGTTAATTGGTTGGGGGATTATTCAAGGGAATCTGTAGAGTTGAATATGTATATATTTTTTTTGTCTTTGTTTGATTAGCTGAAATGTTCAGATGTTGAATTTTGGTGTTTATTTTTTTTTGTTTTGATTATTCAGGTGTTTTGAATTGTTCTTTCTGTGTGATAAATACACCGTTTGTTTGGTGATTGTTGAATAGGATCTGCTTTGTTCAAATTGGCATTCGTTTAGGTTTTTTCTAGATTTTCTGTGGGTGTGTTTTTAATCTCCTGTTATGCTATTATGTACGAAAGATCGATAAATTGTTGAGAAGTTGTAATTGAATTCAGGGAAGAGTTGCATGGTTTAGTGTGAAGAGATTAAGATTTTGTGTTACTTTGTTCTGTCATTCATTATTTTTACTCAAACTAGGAGCTGAGGATGAAATTGTGATGCCTAATTTGAAGCTGCTCCACTTTTTAGTAGATTTTTCATTACATTGACGAGCCTATGTGTAAACTATTCAACTTGAAAATCATTTGTATTTCACTGTGATTTTGAAATTCCTTGGCCCGAGATTAGTTGGTGGAAAACGAATCATTTTTAATGTATTTGAAACCGGTTTTCACTTTGAAATGTGGTTTCAACCTGTGGTGTGATAAGTTGGATTCATATGTATTTTCTCCCAATCCTTGCCCTCCATCAAATTACTTATTATTGACAACAAAGCCAAAATCCGAGCGGGTAATTTTCTTGCATAGTTGACACTATTTTATTGGGTGAATTTGAAAATGTGATAAGATTTGATTCATGATTAGAGTTATTGGCTTACTTGTACTGCTTGGTCAACTGTTAGAGCTGAATCCTCGTATTTTTGTTAAGAAATATAAATAAAATAACATTGGAATATGGTGATTGCCGAGCTTTCTTTTTCAAATATTGCAGTGTTCAGAAGTATTTTCACCTAATTGGTGTATCATGAGATTATTGCATGAGTGTAAGCTTTTCATTTCTTTAGCAGTTTTTTCCGGGTAACTGGTCCTTATCCAAACTTAAATCATGTCAGATTACACTTGTAGGTCAACACTAATAAATGCTTGTGTTTTGTGACCTGAAGGCCTATTTTCACAAATGCTTGTTACATAGCTGGCTCTTTTGCTACCCTATAGGTTGGGCAATTTAGGGATTTGCTCTCTTCTTATTGGCAGTCTGAAGTAGTACGCATTGAGTTCTGGTACTGCTAAACATTGCAACATCTGTTATGTGTAATACTTCACCCATTCTTCTTAACATAGGAGTTGTTAGTTTTCATCAGTAAAGACTTCACCTTTTTATTTTCTGGTGTATTAGCCTTATCTGATCTAATCTTGTTGCATCCCTTTTAAATAAGGGGTTAAGAGCTGGAGAGACCAAGTGAAAGCTTAGTATTATTGCTTTTCTAGTGAGGTTTTCTTAATTTTTTCTTTGGAAGTCAAATACAATATTTGGTTATGATTTGTAACTGTGAGATGCAAAGACTTGTAGAAAGTGAAGAAGACGCATCTGCAAAGGTTTCCAATGGCATTACTACAATGCAAGGCATTTAGAATGTCCATTTCATTATGTGAGGAGGTGCTCACTCCTTGTTCAAGGGTTCAATACTTGTTTTTATAGCCTTTTTCTTGATGAAATGTACTACTAAAATGTTAATCTGCTCATGGAAAAATTAATTTACTAGTTTACTTCAATACACTTCAACTGTACTTGAGTTATGAATATTTTATATTAAGATTTACTTTCATTCATTATACTTTTAGATCAATGTATTTGAAAAGATGTGGAAATCTGTTTAATTCGCACCTTTTTCTTCTTCTCCTTTTTCTACTAAGTTCTCTTAATAATTCATGTATCATGGGGGGAAAATTAAATTTTTGGATAGGAAACTATCTTTGCAATTGCTAGCACTGTACATGTTTGCTGTTTCACCGTTTGGGTAGCTATTTGGATATGGCTTGACATCATCAAATCTATTTATGAGTAATTTAATTGTATGACTACTTTTCAAGGGTTGAGTTATTTGATGACATGCTGTATTTGGAATGAGTATGAAATAAATTAAGATACTGCATGGATTGTGATATTATTGGGTCGAAAGAGAAGCTATATATCACTACTTAATTTATGACGAAAATTTCTTATTAAAATATATTTGTGATCAATTATCAGGGATGGGAACCAAAGTTCAGAGTCTTCCGGGAAACTACTCAATGAGAGATCTTAATGAGGAATCCAGCAGTTGTGGCTGGCCCCTATTTTATGGAGATAAAGCACTGGCAAATGGGCAATATTATCAGAACCATCTTCCAAGTGCCGCTGCAGATGTATGTTCAGCATATGATAAGGATGTTGTGAAACAGATGATGCTTGAGCACGAGGCCATATTTAAGAATCAGGTATGAAGTTCTAGTTTCTTTTCACTCTTGGCTTATGCACATTAAAGGATTTGGGTTCTTAAAGACTAAGTATATTTAGTCTATGATTTTGTATCATGTTTTGATTTTTTTCTCCTTCTTTAGAGCCATTTAACTCAAAATATGGAAATTATCAATTACTGCAGTGGTTTTTAAGTACTTTAACAGTGAGATTCCAACACTAGTTCGATTCAGTTTTAGAAGGGGTGATATAGTTTCGCTTAATTTTTTTATTTACCTATGATTGGTGAAACTACTGATATATTTAAATCATGTGTTATCATCAGGTGTTTGAACTTCATCGTTTATACAGAATACAAAGAGATTTGATGGATGAAGTAAAAATGAAAGAATTACACAGAAACCATAGATCTGTTGGTCAATCGTTTTCCCCTGGTCCTAGCTTTCCAATAGCAGGAAGTTTTGCTTGTGATAGACCATCTATTTCAGGCGTTGAGGGAATTCATTCTCCTTTTGGTTCTAACAAAGGAGTCAATAAGCAAACATGTCTCTTTCCATCACCAAATGGGAGTAGTTCAAAAGATGTTGAGATACTGGGGTCTAGACCCTCAAAGGTGAGGAGAAAAATGTTTGACCTTGACCTCCCTGCTGATGAGTACATTGATACTGACGAAGGCGAGAAGTTTAGTGATGAAAATGCAAGTGGCACAACAATTCCTGATAGAAATTGTAAAAATGGGAAAGGAGGGGATGTGAGACTTTTTTGCGGCAATGGTGGGAAAACTGGTAGCCAGGAAGACACTTCAAGATCTGAGAAGTCTTTAAGGAGCAGAAATGGTTTGGCTGACTTAAATGAACCGATTCAAGTGGAAGAAACAGATGCTGCTGCGTGTACTCCTCCTCAAAACCACAATCCCTATCCAGGGGCAACTGAATGCTCTGATCCATTCGCCAAACAGAAGTCAAGGTTTTTTGGGTTTTCTACAGAAGATTTACACAACTCGCATCATACTCCTTCAAGTAATGGATATTTGAAGAATGATGGGAGTGGAAAAGCGTGGATTTCATCAAAAGAGACAGGTTATATTTTTATTATCTAGCTGCTTTAAACTATAAAAAGAGACTAGAACCACAATGAATCATAGATATTTTGGTGTGAGAGCTGACAGATTGTTATACTTGTAATTTTGCTTTGTCTCCTTTCAAGTAGATAGACTACATTTTTTTTTGTTATTAGCGAGTTAGATTTTTTTGCTCTAACTTGAATTTTGCAAATATTTTAGAATCTTATTTATTATTTTTATATTTTCCTTTAGACTAAAATTTCCCTTTTGGTTGTGCAATTGTTACAATAAACAATTATTGTGATTGATATGGTATCTGATAAATTGCACCATAATAATTTAGTTTCTAATGATTATTACAGGGCAAGCTAAAAGCAGTTTGAATCCCATTCCTCAAGTCCTCAAACAAGAGCAATCATTTTTTTCACCCCAAGCAACACAAGATGCACTTGGTAAAGGTCCCGAACCTACATCAGATTACCTAAATAATAGAAGCAAGACTGGTTTATGGAGGGAAAAGACAGTCGGTGGTTTGGACATCAGTGGAAGAAATAATGCGTACTCCATTGATAAGCATCCAGAGAATGTTGTATCACCGCACAGTCCCGGTCTGTTTGCATTTGCTCCTTCCTCAGATTTTGCCAAGTCTTGGTCTCAGTCATCTTGGCAAATGGCAAGTACTAGTCTAAACCAGAAGTTGATGTCTGTTCAGATGCCTCCTTCTCCATTTCTAAATTCGTCTGGCGCCTTGAGCAGGAGTTCTCAGTCACATCAAAGCAATGGGATTTTGGGAGATAGTTGGCCTCTGAATATCAATACCAAGCAGAGTGCAGGTTTTCTCCGTGAGGCATCTGTGCAGAATGGATTTAACCCCAGGGTTGCTGAACATTTCAACAATGGTTCAGCAAACTATAATAAAAGTTCAAATTTAATTTGCAATGGAATGACATCTGGAAAAGATATTAACTTGAATGTGCGACTTTCAAATGGTTTATCCAATGACTTAGTTACCCAGTCGGGTCTTGGAATTGTAGATCGAGAACAGAAGAATGGGGAGCAGCTTGCAGGGTTGCCTTGGCTTAGATCCAAGACTACATGTAAAAATGAGACTCAAAATGCTGGTAGTGATAGGCGCGTAACTGCTGGAAAATTGAGTTTTCTCCAAGTTGCTTCTTCATCTAACAAGGATGAAACTGAAAAGGGGTCCAGTGAAAAATTTATAAACGGTGTAACTTCAGGTGGTTTGTGTTCAAATATTGAGCCGAGTAGGATAGAAGCCAGTGATAGCTGTAGCAAAAAGAAAATTCTCGGTGTTCCCATATTTGGCGTACCTCTGATTTCTACTAAGGAGTCACCTTCACTCACTTCTCCATCTGTGTCAGTTCCTAGTCCATCAGGCATAGAACTGGTGGATAATAATAGAAAAAACCGGGTACTTGAT